TATACATAACCTGACAGCCACTTGACAGCTGACACATCCTCGTACCGCCACACCGCTCCACCACTCCACTAAGTCCAGCCTCATTTGTTACTTTAAATGTGGCACAGGCTCGCGTTCCCTGTTCTGTGGATAAGTGATCTACAGAGGGTAGGAAGAAATGCATTGCGATGCATTTTGCGACTCTGGCGACATTGCACTTTATCATTAATCCTTTCCATGTGCCTGTACCACATTGTTGGGCTGTTTGTACAGTATTTAAAATGCTGTACAATGATCAGGTCCACAGATTACAAGTTACTCTGTTGTCTGCTGCCTCTTGGCTTGGTCGGCAGTGCAAAAAAGAACCGGCTCTCAATTGCCCTGTCTGGATAAACAGTGGTTGAATAAATAAAGAAGAGCGTTCTCCGATATTTGTTGCAATCAAGTGAATCGACGGGATCTTGAGAATAGAACTAATGAAGAAGGTAACTGCCCTTCAGGGGTTAGGATTAAGGCTCAGTTTAACCGGGCAGTAGTTTTAAAACCAGTTTCTCTTAACAATTTTAACAAATATGGAAAAGAAGTGACCAAGTGTCAAATCAGATTTTGTGTGCAATTATAATTAATCAGAAAAGGCATTGACAAAACAGATTCATATCATTCCACTCCGCAAACAGTTAAAAAAATAATAATAAAAGCCCCAAATTGATGACATTCTTGCCGATGATGATTCTATTTCAACTTCTGGTTGCAGCTGTACGGACAGGCTGCCAAATCCCATACATGGATATTTAGGCAATCCTGGACAGGGAGGTCAGAGTGGAAATACAGTCAAGGTTAATGATAGACTGCAGGCAGAAGAACACACACGCACACACGGACACACACACACATACACGCGCACACAAAAACACAAAACGTTATGCTTGTTCTTGTGTGTGTCTGCGTGCATGCTGTAATGTGCTTATGTAACCACACCAGCACCCACTCAGCTCTTTGGCTCAGTTCAAACAGACTTTATTCCGGAGTCCTGGGCAGACGACACACTATATTATTATCATAAATAGATTATTTTACATTGCTCTTTTATCCGACATTGAAAAGACAAAATGGCGATCAAGCCACATCCATGGTAAAAGGCTGTGAGTGGTCGTCTTCTACAGCACGCACTGAGGGCATGAGTAGCAATAAGCACCTTATTAAAAACAATCCTTCAGCAAAAAAAAAAAAAGATACTTTGGGTTCAAAAATATCGACGTGTCTTTTAATACGTTTAAATGTGTTTAAAGAGTGTGGGAGGGGTAAAAAAAACAACAACGATAGCAACCACAAATGGAATTATGTGTCCTAGTTCATCAATAATAATCAGGACGTGTCATCTTAATCGGGCACAGTCAACTGCATTATCTGGTTGATCATGTATCACGTATTGATTTAATAATAATAATAATAATACATTACATTTATAAGCGCCTTTCAAAACACTCAAGGACACTTTACAATCAAAACAAGAACAATAAAACCACAGATAAAATTATAAATAATAAAAGGAGAGATGAATTTAAACTGAATTTAGCGACTCGAAATAGTTGACGCCGGCAACATCGCC